GCCTTCCTGTCCTCCACCATCCCCTGGAGCCCACCTAAGCTCACACCAACTGCTTTATCTAACCACCTCATCCTCTGCCGTCCCCTCCTTCTTTTGCCATCTATTCTTCCCAGCATTAGGCTCTTCTCCAGGGAGTCCTTCCTTCTCATTAGGTGGCCAAAGTATTTGAGTTTCATCTTCAGTATCTGGCCTTCTAAAGAGCAGTCAGGGTTGATCTCCTTTAAGAATGACTGATTTGATCTCCTTGCAGTCCAAGGGACTCGCAAGAGTCTTCTCCAGCACCACAATTCAAAGGCCTCAATTCTTCGGCGGGCAGCCGCCCTTATGGTCCAACTTTCACAGCCTTACATTGCAACTGGGAAAACCATAGCCTTGACTATACGCACTTTTGTCAGCAGGGTAATGTCTCTGCTTTTTAGTATGCTGGTTTGCAAGCTAAGCACTTACAAAACCAACAGCTACAGTAAAGTAATTGCTCCCAGCTGGGTACTTTTTATTATGGAATCGCACCCTTCCAATCAATTATCATGGGAGGCCACATCAGTAACTGAGTGAAAATGTCCATTTTCTGACACGCACTAAGATGTTAGTGTTTTGGACTTGGCTGCATCCTACTACTGCTGTTTGATGACTTCCCCAGATTGCACAAGGTTTCAGATGCCTTTTAGGGGAAGAAAGAAAAGCAGACGAAGCTATTATTACTGCAACTCACACGTATTTATTTTGGGAATAAGCCCTTCCGGCTTCACTAGGAGGTACTTCCAAGTAAACAAACCTAAGATTGTGCTCTAAGTTATCTACCTAACAGTTCTTCCTACGTATTACGAGGTATATTTGCTTAGACCTGACTTCCATCCTTCCCCTTGGAAGGGTGTAAGAACTGCCTCCCGTCATCATCTCTCCATGTCTCTCGACACAATAGTTTCCACAGAGCACCATCCAAGGAAGGAAGGTGGTTATCCCCCCTTTCAGTCAGCCCGCCATCCTCTGCTCACCGCGCTTATTCTTGGTGCCGTGTTTGCGGGCCGCCGCCAGCTCCTGCTCGATCTTCTTCTCTAGGAACTCCTGCTTCTTGCTTAGCATCTCCTCAGTATCGCGAAGTCGCTGGATGGCCTCCTGGGGAGAAGGCCCCTTCCCGCCGCCTTTCCCGGCCGTCCCCAACAGCTTGCCCAGGAGCCCCGACATGGCCGGACCTCACGCAAGGACGGGGACGGGAAAGAAATCGAGGACCCCGGCGGGGCACAGTAAGGAAAGGCCGTGAAGAAGCGGCGCGGGGCGGCCTCAGAAGACACTCTTAGCCCTGGCGGGAACTCCTGAAGCGCTGAGGCGGAACCGGGGGAGGAGGCCACCTCCGCACCCACGGACTCAGTCGGCCGAAACCTCCCGCGCCGGCTACCTAGTCCAGCACAGGCCCGAGTCCCAGGCGCAGCCACTCCCTGGAACAAACGCGCTCCCAGGCCAACGACAGCACGACGGCCTCACTGCCCTCTGACGGACTGAATCATGACGGGGAGTAAAGCCACCCGCTTTCTGACTTACGTCAGTCCAGGTACCACGGCAACAGCGCAAATCTCACGCTATAGTTACGGCGTGTAAAGCGTCAATAACCCGCAAACGTTGCCGGGAGTTGTAGTTCTTGCAGAGTGAGCGGCTTTCGTTCTCAAGGGGAGTGGAACACGAGTGCGTGTTGTCGCCCATCTGCTGCCCAGTGGAATGCTGGGAGATGTAGTGCACCCTGTGAAATTTTTGGGAACTATCCCTAGACAGAACTTTTAATGAAAATAAATATTGGCATTCCGAGTTCCCAGCAAAATGCTTGTAATGTCTCCTTTATACACGCCTTCCTTGATTACTTGTCTTAATGCTAAGTCAGAAAAAACCAGGTGCTAATGTTCAAGATTAAGGCACATTTAGGCGCCCCCAGTACCCTGGAACGAGATGCGACTGGTCGCGAGAGGTCATCCAGATGAGCCGTGGGTGGCTAAGATCCATCGGTTCCACGGCCACTAGTAGAGAGGGGGATATATTGAGACCACATTTGCTTATTGAAAATTGTTTTAACGATAGATTCTATGGTCCTTTGACCTAAAGCCATTGTGCAGGGTAACAGGCAAGGGAGCAAGCACAAAATTAACATGATTAGGCAGCAGATGAGGAACCTATTCTTGAGCCAGACCCAGTTTGGAAGCCAGCTTTATTATTAAGATTATTGATTAATTGAAGATTAAACTTTTCCACCTTTGCATTGGGACACAGGCAATTTTCCTCATGTTTTCTGCCAGACTGTTTATGACCTTTCTGTTGTCTATTTTGAGACAGCAGACCATCCAGTTAAATTTCTGGCATACCCCTCCCTCTTCAGCAAATAGGTAGTCCAGGGCCATGCAGTTCTGTACGACTGCATTCCAAAGCTGGGTGAACTGGTCAGCTGCTAGTTCCAGTACCTGGGCAGTCTTACTGTTGACTATCTCCGCTACTGACTATAATCTGATAAGGTGGTTGGTCATACCCATGGGGCCAAGCACCACTAAATAGACCCCATACCAAGTGGCTGAGCCATAGGTCCGAATGATTCTCTCAGATGGCCACTTGTCATTCCATGTCTGACACCGTCTGGAGGCTTTATCTAGACTCCTCTGTCCCCTCTCCTTCCCCTGTTCTACCATTCCCCTGAAGGTCACAGTTTGCAAGTCTAGGAAGAAGGGAGGCCTCAGGAAGTCAGGGCAGCAGGTCCTGTCCTGTTTCAGGGGAGGACAGAGAAGGCCCAATCCCCACTTCCTTTTAATGAAGACCATGCTTGGCCATCACATAACTTCTCATGCTGGAAGTGATAGTAGACATATGCTCTAGGTGCAGTTCCTCCCCTTTGTACTTCCCTGGCTATTTCGTGTCCCATTCTCCCAACAATCTCCCACTTCAGGATCCAAGTATCTACACTGCCATATCTTCCTGTCCCTGAAATTCGCTTCAGTACAGTTGTGGGGAGTGGAGACATTATGGGTTGGCTCTGCGGAGGTAGCAGGGGCTGGGAACCAAGTGTTGGCGTAGCTGAAGCAAAAGGTGGAATCCCTGTTGTGATTGTTTCTACACTCACCCATCAAGACAATGTGGTAGTGGCACTGGCTGCACGCTACCATGTAGGTGGAAGTGACTGACTTATAGCAAGAGAAAGGCCATTCGCTTAGCTGTGGTTCAACTTGCCATTTGCGGAGGGATCTGCTAGTACTCCAATTTTTGTCAAACTTGGGTGAGGAGAGGTCGCTTACATATCACATGTATGTGTCCCACAGGCTCATGTAGTCTAGTGGTGTCACCTTCCAGGGCCAGGATGGGTCCCCCTGGGTAGGTCCTGAGCAAATCCAGCACTAGCTAAGGTTAAGGGCATAAGACACTAATTCTTCTAATCTTACAAACTCATTCTCCTCTAGGGAACCCAGTGTAGAGGTGGGCTTGGGGCTACAATTTGTCCAGTAATTATAGGCATATAAACTAATGACCATCTCTACATCTGACAATTAATCCCTATGAATTTACATTCTGTGGAAAAAGGCTTCCTTGGTATCTCCTAAACTGACTGAAAATCAATTATATTGAATGTCAGACTATTGTATTCCCAATCACAATCTATGGGTATTTATTTTGTTTAGGATTTATATTACACTGTAAGCTATCCAGAGACAACAGTGATGGATGGCCTATAAATCCCCTAAATAAACAAACAAATAAGCAAGCAAGAAAGCTGACAGGAAGAACTTAATGTGTTTGAGACATGGTGCTGGTGGAGAACTTTACAAATACCCTGGACTGAAGAAGACAAACATATAAGTGCTAGATCAAATCAAGCCAGGACTTTCCCTAGAAGCAAAAATGACCAAAGTGAGGCTGTCATACTTTGGATGCATCATGAGAAGGCAAGACTCACTGAAGAAGATAATCATGTTAGGGAAAGTTTGTTCTGGCCAGCTTTCTCCACTGTAAATATGGTCATTAGCTTTTATGTCTATAATAGATGGATAATCAAAACATTTCCACATGCTTCTAGACGCGTTGTATCAAAAGCCACTTTTCTTGTTCATCCCTTGTTGCCTGTAGCTTCATTGGTTCCTTTTTCCTACTCCCTTCCTCTATGCCTCTGCAACAAGCAACATGCTTTCTCTGTCTGATGGAAGCAAGGGACCATATTTCATGTCTTCATTTATTACAGCCATACACCAGCTTTTGAGGGTGCTTGTAGTTAAACAGTTAGACAGCTTTCTTCAAAAGATTGCGTAAAAGCACTAAAATAAGTTGATTTGGATTTCTTTCTGAATTGGCTCTAGCCTGTGTTTATTTCCTTTTATGCTAAATGCCATATTATCATGCTTGTGTTTAAGGCAACTCTGTTTTAAGTCACACCAGACTTTGCAACAATAATAAGGATAAATTCATAGATATCTCTGTATATCTTGGACAACCATATGTTGGGAACAAAAACCAGAGATAATTACATTTAGCATTTCTCTTTAGACACAGGAATGGCTATCTTATAATCACAAATGACTGAAAAAGAATGATTATAAAAGGCAATGTTTTGTATTACCTAAGAAATAACCTGGCCTTCTGTACATCCCACTGTCAAAAGAAGAATTATTGCAATGTAGCAATAGGCTATATTGCCCAAATAATTGCACAGTCAACATATGCAGAGAAAGTCAGATGGGTATATATTATTTCTATCATCCACACATAACCAGAAATAGTGTAAGGCTTCAATAGTAAACACATTTGCACAAAGCTGTTGGATTTACTTCTAAGCACACCATTCAAAGAGTCTCAAGGACAGCTGTTACATCAACTTGGTAACATTATTATTGGGGGGGAGGGGTTAGCACATGACAGACAGTTATTCTTTTTTTGCTGTGACAACATAATGTGATCTGAACAAGCATTCAGGAACAGAATCACTGAGGTGACTGAGGGTACAACCCCATTGCATTTATACCTTTCAGAGGGAAATAAATGCTTGTTTCCAGGGACTTCTGAGCATCCTATGCACAACCAGGCTGTTTCTGACATAGTGGGAGTTAAGTAATCTGATGTTGGACAAGACATTTCTACAGATTTAGAAACTGGTTCCCATCTGTGGTGAAAAGGGGGATTCATCACCCTTCTGGCTGCTGCCAGGTTCTGCTTTTGTTGACTTGGACACAATGGTGGGGCAGCTGAGGCTACAAGTTCATTTAAATAAAGATCCGAGTGAGGAATTAAAAGATTTGCACATCTATGTATATCAAAAAAGTTTCTTTGGATTTTAATAAGTAACAATAAATAACAATACATTTTCCGCTTTCACTTTACAATTGAATTATTTCTTTGCCCCTTCTCATTGTTCGTCAGTTTCCATTACTGTGCGCAGATAGGTACACTTCCTAAGCCAAATGTTTGCTTCACAGACATCTTTCATGGAGCAGTTCTTCTGCACGCACCTGCGCCTCACAGCCATTCTGTCCCTTGATGATCAGGCAGTATCCTTCTCTCAGTTCCCCACCCAGATGTTGTTTAAAACCTCTTATTTGCAAAAACCGCCTTTTCCTTCCCTTCGAGCTTTCCTGCATAAGACACCTACTAGGTACGTTCATGATCCTTTGCTCATGGTAGTTTGCACATGCTTTACATGTTGTCATCCTCCTCCAAGATCTCTCGTGTTCTTTTTGACATTTTTGGTGGCTTTTATTCGTCTAAGGAGAGTGGCAAAATGAAGCCATCATGGATTTAGGCATATATGCTAGACTACAGTGTCACCTAGTCATTGTATAATGGAACATATAGAGAGACAGACAGAGAAAAGTCTTAGGAGAAAAAGGAGCTGATCCTAATCCTGCAAAAAAATTGAGAAGCAGGATTAAATGTTGGATTAAAAGCCTCATTGTTATATCACATTTACATCCTGCCTTTCTTCCTCTTGCAAGGAACCCGTGGCAGCTTACACGATTCTCCAACACTTCAGTTTATCCTCACAACAACCACCCTATGAAGTAGGTTAGGCTGAGAGTCTGTGACTGGCCCAAAGTCACCCCGTGAACTTCATGGCTGAGCAGGGATTAGAACCCAGGTTTCCTGAGTTCCAGTCCAACACTCTAACACCGAACCACTAAGTAGAAAAGCCCTTCTCCTACCCCCACTCTCTTCTTTCAGCCACTTTCCTTACAACCTTCCATTTCCCTTAGCATAACTCTCTCCTTGTCATCATCCCATTTGCCTAGCTTTTCCAAATTCTGCCACAGTGCCCTCAGCTGGACCCCTTTACCTACCTCCTCTTTGCCACTGTAATGGTTATTACCTTTAGTCCAGTTGGCACTTCCCTGAGGGAAAAACAAGGCAAACACTGCAACTTTTTTATTCCCACCACTTGCACACCCTAGCTAGGTTCACACTCACTGAGGGAAAGCCACAGTGGCTTCTTTTCCCTGCCTCTGTCTGTGCCATACAATTTCCGTAATTATCCTTGTGACGTGTGGATTGTCATGTTATCTGAACGTGGCAAGGGGCACAGTGGATGGTGCCTTAGAAACCATCCAGAACAAGGTGTGAGAGTCTCTTAAGAGGACAGATGAACAGGCAAGAGTAGCAGGGCCAGAGAAGGGTTTGGCAGGAGGAATTGTCCCTCACAACCCATCCATGCAGGTGCACAAGCAGCTGTATGAAAGAGGAAGAGGTGCACTAACCTCAGTACACACAACTGAATTATGCACAGCATAAGATTGTATTTCAGAATTATTTGGCGACAGTGTACAGAGACCGACCAGGTTTAAGACTGGTTGTTGAAGAGTACCCCCCCTCCCTCCGGCAACCAGGGAGAACTAAGATCAAAGCTTTTTGAGTGCAACCTGAAGGTGGTCATCGTCTTCTTTTTTCTTTTTTTCAGGGCTTTTAGCATAAGCACAATCACAGATATATATTCCTACAATAGTAAATTTTTTGGGTGGAATTGGAATGAAAGGAAGTCTGAAAACGACAATCCTCCCTCCCTCTCTCTCTATATAAGATTCTGATTTTTTTCATCCTTCCCAATATAATTTATAAAATGTCATTATAACTGTTAGTAGTAAAGATAGCCATGCATCTATATACAAGAAAACTTGCATTCATCTTGAGTTATGTCACTTCTCTAAACCATATCTGCAGTCATTGATGAAATAGCAATAACACATATGAAAAAGAATGCATGAAAACAAAATCATCAATGTCCAATAGTGGGGCTCACTCATTTATCTCCTTGGTGTAATGGACAACCAACAACACTGAGGAAGAATCAGGAATAAAGAACTGCTTTCAACTAATCAAAATGCAGAATTCTTCCCTGGTTCAAAGGAGGCAAGCTTCTAGTATTGGGAGGCCTCAACATCAGAGCCAATATTGCACGGTAGCTTGAGTTTTGGACTTCAGTGAATGATGAGACTCGCAGAGGCTGCAATCCAATACATCTTTACTTGGGAGTTATTCCCACTGAACTCAGTGAGGCTTACTTCTGAACTGACATATTAGAATTGCACTGCAAGTGTTCTTCAGCAAGTCAGTTTCTCTTACCTAGCTACATCTCAGTAAAAGTTTATTCTGAGCACTTTGGAGGACATACAGAATATAAACATAATCCATAATAGCAGCAGTAGAAAAAAGGGACCCCTGGTAAAAAATTACATTTGAAATGCCAGGAGATTTACTCGGGGATTCATGAAGATTTAGCATTACAAAATACTTCAGTTTTCCTGAGGTTTATTGTCACAAAAGTTCAAGAATAGCTGCATTTGGGTAACCTGATGGACAACTCTGGCACAACTTGATAATTTAACATAAAAATCTAACATCAGTTGTACACATGGCCCACTGATAGCCAACATATTTTATGGCTTATTAATATTAGCATATCTCTTAGTGCTTCTTAGGTCATTAAGAAATCCATAGTAGTAACTTGTTCTTGTTCTTGGTAACCTGAAGCCCTCCCGATGCTTTGGCTTATAACTCCGATCGGCCCTAGCCAGCCTAGCCAATGGTGCAGTGATACCAGTGCTGGGCATTGTAAGCCACAGCACTGGAGGGCCACAGTGCTCATTACTGTACTAGAGGGTTACTGCCCAGCACCATTCAAGTGGCAGCTCCCCTTTATCAAATAAAGTTTCAGATCAACTCACACTAGTTCCACACACTGTCCAATGGATTACTAACTTGAGCCCCTTTGTGAAGTACCATACCTCCTGTCTTCAATTAAATGTACTGTGTGTTGCAGCATTATGAAAATACAGTCAATATGAATGAAATCACACAAATAACATTTAGTGTGGATGTTGGTAACTGTTCATGGATTGGTTTGCCATTTTTTTCTCCTTTATCTCCTGTTCCCAATTCTCCGTTAGACATGGTTGATCATGTGACATTTGGCATTCATCCTCTGCTCTTGGTAGTTTCTTCTCCCACTCTTCACAATCCAGACACCTGAAACATACACACTTCAGGTACACTTCCTTTTCCAAATTGTGCAAATTTCCAAATTTAGATATGCTACGTTTCATTTAAAGCCGCTGCTTATCCCCACCTTTTCCACTATGAACTCAAAATCCTGGTAAGTTCACAAGAGAAAGTTGTGAAATCAAAACAGGTCCATTGCAATTACAGAACATTTTTCCTTTCCTATACACATCAGAAAAAGAGACTCATAGGATGTGTCTATGAGAAGATTTATGAATGATGTTCCCAAAGGATCACATAAGGAAACTTCCAGTAGGAAGCATTATTTACTTACAGGTGGAAAGGCCAACTTTCCAGATACAGGGCAATGCAATTTCAGAACAGAAACACAAATGGCATACATAACATTTTTTTTAAACTGGTCTTGAAAAAAATGCAAATTATTGCAATGATCTGAATTTTCACTGGTTCAGACATGCCATGAGCCTTATTAACTAAGCATCTTTCAATGAAATTCACATCACCATACCTTTCAGTGCCTGCTGATTCTTATGAGCTTCTTCAGATTAATTCTTTGTCTTACCAACATTTTTCTTTAAAAATGCTGGTCTCTGCATCATCGCAGATACACACACACACGCACGGCTCCCATTTATTTCTGATCTCCTGCAGCAGGCTGACTCCATCAAAGAAAGAGGAATTTATTTCCCCTATGAAGCGGACGTAAGTCACTGCATTATTCAGTTAGTCAGTAGACTGAATGTAAACAGGGACAGCCAGCATGGTGCATGGGCTTTCGGAACCAGGCTGCAACTCAGCTAGAGCAAGGTTAGATGGGATGCCACTGCATTGGCTAGCATTGCCAGTATCTGAATCGCCTGCTGACACGGCTGCTGACCTTCCGACCACAATGGACAGAACTGTGTCAGACTCTGGAAACTGTTCTTTATTAGAACTCCCTTTTTGAGGGTTCTCCCTAACTGTACTGTCTTTCAGTTCTGTCAAAGTCAACTGAGCCGAAAGAGGAAGCCCCATTTTCCGCCCATGAGTCCCCCACTTCTTCTGGCATTTTCTGACCGGCAGGTCTTTGTCCTTGGGCGTGCTCAACCGACATTTGTGGTCCTTCATGTACTTTTGGCGTGTAAAGCCTTTGCTGCAGGTAGGGCAGCGGTACTTGTAGTTGCCAGTGTGAGAGCGCTGATGTTCCACCATGTGAGCCCGTCGGCTGAAGGCCTTGTTGCAATATTGGCACTTGTGGATCTTCATCCCTAAACAAGAAAGGACACAAAGAAGTGTAGCTGCACAGTGCTCATGGAGTAGCACCTTGTCTAGAGCCATTTAAAGACTTGGTGGCTGGAGAGATTTGGACCTGAGGCAGTTCTATTCACATACATCAATGGTACATACCAACTCACTCAGCCCGCCCAAGCCAGAACATAGTGGCCCATTTCACATGTAATAAGACAACCCCATGGCTGAGTGACCCCATGGGGCTTCTTACTGTGGCAGTGTCTGCCATTCTGAATATCTGGAGCGCACAGAGCTTCTTATGCCTGAACCCAATCAGAGTGGGTTGCTGGGTGGCTGACAGGCTACCCCCAACTATAAAACAGGCTTTGGATTCTGGGAGGCTTTTCAATCACCCCAACAACCTACTTTTGCCAGCTTTGCATATACCAAGAAGACCACAGCAGGGGAAGGGGTGTTTGGATCACCCACCTGGCACCTGTGGGTTGCACCTGTGATGATCATTAGAACCAAGTCAGTGTGTTACACAATTTTGCATGGGAAGCTATGAAAGCCCCATCACTATGAATCATCTCTGGACAAAAGGGATGCAGGAAAAGCAAACAAGCAAGGTTTATTAAGGATTTTGCTATCTCTGGTTTCTGTTGACAGATTCCAGAATTGCCATTCAATCCAGAGTAGATTATTCATTCCCAGTAGAGGACAGAATTTAGATTCATCTTAATCACAGCTCAACAAAAAGATCATAAATCTTCATGGCTTTTCCTCTTCACTGCAGTTAAGAAAGCAAAACCAAAAGCTTTCTTTGTCATGCAATAATTACAGGAACAATTCTATACACGTTTAGATGAAGAAGTGGCCTACATGCCCCAGCCATATATCCTGTTTAAACATGCATGGAATTGTACCCTAACAGACTGAAGAGAATTAAAATAGTCAAGAGAGGAAAGAGACAAAACAGAAACACCACATACCTGAATGGGACAGAATGTGAGCTTTCAACTTGTCTGGCCTGTTGAACTCCTTATCACAGCCTGTATGACTCCTGCAACAATAACAAAAACTGAAATGAAGAATTAATCAGATGCAAAAAGATATACACAGGAGCCTCAAGTGTCGTGCCTTGTTTCAGGGATATGCAGGTATTAAGCGCATTTAAATGTTGGAGTAGTTCCCGGGGCCTCCTTTCTGTAGTATCATAATAAGAAAAAACGGCCTGCTCAGCAATGCGGCTGATATCTGCCTTCGAATGGAAAGATCTTCTGTGCCATTTCTCCTTATGCAGCACTTTTTGAAAACTGGCCCACTGAAAAGGAGATGGAGCTAATCTGCCAAAAACCAGCTGCAATTTAATCTTTTATTTAAAAGTTGGAAGGGACCAAAATATCATTAGAGCTAACTAGCCACATCCAAACAAGGCTATCGTACTCATGCCAATTTATAGCAATTTATAGTGGGCTGAGTAAGAAACAAAACAGGGCAGGTTCAAGATATTTTGCTGCTGGAAGCGAATGAAAAGATGGATCCTCTGCCCTTTCCATATACGAACAATGACTAAACAGAAATGGCCATCTGCCAGCACAGGTGACAGGACAGCATCCTCCACAGCAGCAGGGGCCAGCAGGCTAGCTCATGGAGCACATGCCACCGTCAGGGCAGAGTCTGAGCTCCAAAACACAAACCTGCTATTTTGTACCCATTGTTTTCTTCTCCAAAACCCATTTCACAGAAGGCAAGCTGATGAGGCGCAGAGACAAATATGAGGCCTGATAAGGTCAAGAAACTCAGTGTAAGGGAGAAGCAGGGGCTGTGCCCCAAACCACATACTCCCCCTGCCACAAAGCTTAACAAAACACTCATTTCACAGATGTGCAGACAAAGACATGCACCTGCAGGTGCACCACAACACATCCTATGCCAAAATAAAACCAGCTGACAAAGGGGCGGGGGAGAGAAGTGAACAAGCAGTGCAGACCTCTTGACCTACCACCACCACCACCACCTCTAGCTGTCTGGGTGCCCTGTTGCCTCCTCCAGTCCCCCAGGACTCCCCCTCCCATCTCAGTGAACCTTTTCCTTTCCCCTGACTGCTTGGGAACATTTCAAAATGAGGTGCAGTTACCCAGCATTTTTATGGTGTTAGATGCTTGTGCTTAAATCTAAAGCAAAGAGGTGGGACAGGGAGCCTGCCAGGCTGCAAAAGAAGCATCCATTGAGTACAGTGCTTACAGGGGCCAAACTGGGGACCCCAGGGAATGGACTGAGGAGATTCTGACTTCCCAAAGTTCAAGACTGACACAGTTTTGTCAGTAAAGCCAGTGCCATTTCTGGCTGCACTGGACCCCTGGTACTTACGAGAAGGGGCATTTATATTTCTTGAAAGGCTCGTGGATCAACATGTGCCGTTTGAGTTTATCTTTCCTGTTGAAGGCTGAATCACACACAGAGCATTTAAAAGGCTTTTCACCTGCATAGGAAAGAGATGAATTTAGCAAGGGAAGTATAAGCAGAACTTGGCTTAAATGCTTAAATATATTCTAACAAATTGCCTTTGCCTGAGTTGAAGAGAATCAATGCATCAGGCTCAAATGAAGGATCGTGCTCTCTCTCTTTTTCTTGGCCATAATCCTTTAGTGTCCTACACCACGGTGTGTGCACTACTGAAAACTGACTAAGCCACTGGAACTGTTTCAAATGGATATTTTTTACTATATCCAGTGCAACCAACAAGTCATGATTCTGCTCAAAACTGTCCTGTTTATCTAGGTCATCAGCTACAGTAAAAACACCCCAAATGCTTCTAGCTATGAGCTTGCTTCCTGCGAATGGCTGCCTAGCACTGTGTCAGGGGACTGCTGTCTTGAATTCTTATTTGGCCACAAGACTTCCATTTGAGCTGGTTTGTATTAATAATACAAGCAACTCCCACAACAATAACAACCTTGCCTTCAGCAACTATTGGAATTCAAAACCAATAAATATTTTGTTATTTTGTTCAAGATGTCTATTATAACACTAATTGAAGGGAGCCATTTTATTAAAAAGAACAGTTCTCTATAATAAGAGCATACAGCAAAGACTCCAAGGATGCAACACTTTATAAAAAGTCCATAATAAAACAAAAGAAACTGGAAAAAATGGCTGAGAGGGTCCCAAGGAGAGCTCCAAGCAAAAGAAAGCATCTATAAAATGCTTCTTCTACAGCTCCGTCCTCCCACATCCACTGTTGTAGTCTAATGCTTCCTGTCTCTTCAGTTGCCCTTTCTTGTGGGGCCCAATGTACTCTGAACTCAGTATTCAGGAGGATTTGTTATAACCTGACCAGTGGTCCCCACAAGCGGATACTAACAAAGTCATCACGCTGGCTAGTATTACTTCAACCTGTATATGAAATCCAAGCAATGCAGGATGCTTGCTACCACTAAGGATGGAAACGGTAGATATCGGAGGATGCAAATAGAAGGGAATTTCTGCCACTCCTTACCCGAGTGAATGTGAGCGTGCAGTTTGAGGTAGTGTTCTCGGCGGAAGAATTTCTTGCAGATCTGACATTTGAATTTGCCTCCACCCCCGTGTGTAGGGAGGTGCCGTCGCAGGTACCTCTCACAGGGAAACACCTGCAAAAAGCCAACCACACATAGCTAAGAGAATAAGGTCACCTGAACAGGCAATAGCTCTTCTACCTAACAAAGTGTATATGTTTTTTCAAAGGTAGCTCACCATAACAAAATGGGCAATGCAACTACCATCTGGAGAGAAGGATGACCGAACAGATCTTGGAGGAGCTGTTTTACTTATAATTGCACAGTCAATTCCTGCACGTCCAACATGGGAGGAACAGTCACACGACAGAATGTAGCTTGCCAACCAGGGATGACAGGGTACAAGCTAAATCCTCTGGCAGTGCAGACACTGATACTACAATTGCACCTCTCTGCAGAGCAGATCACGCAGGTCAGTTGGGCATTAGCATGTATCCAATATGTAACTGAAGTAGGTGGCCTTGGACAAATCTCTAACATCTCTCAGAGGGACAGGGTAGGAAAGAAGCCTAAATAAATACATAAGATGGACTAAGAATGACAGGTGGAAAAAAGACCCCTATGCCCCCAAATATTCAATCAACTTCATCATGGCCA